CACAGTCTCTCTCTCTCTCTCTCTCTCTCTCTCTCTCTCTCTCTCTCTCTCTCTCTCTCTCTCTCTCTCTCTCTTTCTCTCTCGGCTTGGGGGTTTAGATGTCCTTCCAGCCACTAATCAAAAAACAAATAGTAGACCGATTGCTAAGGTGGGACCACAAGGTCACTGACTTTTCTGTGGCAGAGAACATTCCTGCGTGAATGAATTCTGCTTTCCAGAGGCATGACAGATGGGAGGCAAAAAAAGTACAGCCACTCCTCTGCCTCCGTGTAGCAGCCCAGGACACACTAACTAACAGAGTGCAGTCCAACACTGGAATCCAGGTGCTCTTCTCCAAATATACCAATAAATTAGTTATCAGTAGATTAACATTTAGAAAAGGGCCATTACAACATGAACCATTTGAACAATACTGCAGAATAAACAGAGTTTAACTGATAGATGCGGAAAAACACGGTTCCTAAGTAACTGGCAGTACGATGGGCCCCAGAGAAAGCACACGGAGCACTGAGGATTTGAGACTTGGGAGAAACTGCTGCCCCTTAAACCAGCCCCCAACATCTGCTCTCTCCTGGCTCAGGTTCTGGTTCTGGGGTCAGGCCTGCATGCAAAGGGAGTGAGCGATGAGATGCCTGGTAGAGTAACAGTGCCTTGGGAACAAAGGGCGTCTCCCCATAGGCCCACCATAAGCTGAGCTGAACTGCAGGGGGCTCGGATCTCTGGTGCTGTTTCTCAGATTATGGTCCTGTGAGATACTAGACAGCAACACAGCAGGTGGACATACATGAGACCAGGTAGTTATTTACATACGACTTCCAGTTTATAAAAACACAGAGTACCCTAAACGGGATGGTCACAAACAAATGCTGTAAAGGAATATTCTTAAAAGAATGCCAGCCAGCCAGGTTGCATTTGAAAACAATCCTCCAGGTATCTTCAGGAACAACCATTTTACTCATGCTACAACGCTGAAGTTTAAAATATGCTAAAACACGGATAAACGCTCCCACCGCATGATTCCCAGGGTAAACAACGACAGCAGAAAGGAATGTGCTGACCAGATTCCGTGCCTTTAAGTATTTGAGAGGATGATGAATTAGAAGGACACACTCTTGCCGACAGTCAGTGTGCTTCAGGTACCATCATTCACACAGAGGCATGGGGACTCTAAAATTCAAGCGTATTCGGGAGAAACTCCGGGAACAAAGAGACTGCTCCCCAGCTAGTACACCTCACCCCATCTGCCTGGCTACTTTAAACAAGAATCAGTTTAGGTTTGCTTAAATATAAAAAAATAAACCTAAGAAAAATTACTATGGCGGTCTGAGTAAGAGTGGACCCTGTAGGCTCATATATTTGAATGCTTAGTCGCCAAGGAGTAGGACAAAATCCCATGCCAGACCCAGTCAGACTGTCTGTCTGTCTGTCTGTCTGTGGATCAGGATGTAGCTCTCAATCACTTCTCCAGCACCATGGCTGCCTACCGCCATGCTCTCTGCCATAAGAGTAGACTCTGCTTTTGAAAACGTAAGCAAACCCCTAAGTAAATGCTTTCTTGTTACGAGTTGCCTTGGTCACAGGAGTAGACTAAGACAATTACTTTCTTCAGAAAAGATTTAAAATCCTCATCAAACATCTTGAGGGAAAAAAAAGTCTCATATATGAATGTAAAGTAACGAGCATCGAGTAGAGAGGTCCAAGATAACTACTCTCACAGCATCACAAGCTTCTGAGGACTGACCACGACAGATAATAATCTCTATCGTCTCACCTTTAATGCTACCTTTTTCCTTAACACTTAAATAACATGATTTGACTTTTATAAAATCTCTCCAAATATTGTACTTTTCATTAATTTAAAGGGACTGAAGAAACCAACAAAGATACAGCCCCCCCCCCCAGCCACTCCCTCACTCCAGCCTCACCCTGAGTACATCCAACAAGTCCAGGGAAGAGAGAAGAAAATCAACAGAGGACTATTTTCCCAATATTAACATTGTTCTAACTAAAATGCATTACTTATAGTTCCTACCAACTGAGCGATGATCCCAGCTACCTAAAACAACACTCACCACCCAGTACAGCATTCCACTCATCAGACCTTAGTGAACACAGATGAAGTGGCTGAGGCAAACCGTCTCTACTTAATGGGCCAGAATGTTTGTGGTTATTCATTTTTCTTCACTTCAGCACAATGATGTGACTTCCAGACACAAACGAAAGTGTGTGTGTGGAGAAGGGGGGGGGGAAGCTCTTCTTATGGCTGGAGTGTGACATCCACAGCCCCAGTTCACAGTTCTCAGGATGCCAAGCACAGCCCAGCAGGAGCTGCTCTAAAACCATTGCCCAAGAACGTAAGTAGTTGGTGATGGGAGGCAGCCAAGGCCACATTCCAGCCTCCCACCTCCCTTGTGTGACTCTACATTAAATGGGAGACCATTTTAATTTAATTTTGTTTTGTTTGTGTGCTTGAGATTGAGCTCAAGGTCTTGTATGTGCTCAACAAGCCACTCAACCATTGAACTACACCCCAACCAAGAGTTAATGTAAAATCCTGATATCTAACTGACGCCACAAAAAAAAAATCCCAGCCTGCTTGCAGCTACATGGGCATCAACTTACTGACTATTGTAGTAAAATACTTATTTTGCCAATACATACACACACACACACACACACACACACACACACACACACACACACACATACATACATATATCGCATAAGTAAGCCTTAAATCTTTGAGATGTTCATTTTATATATAAGGAAGTCAGGGAGTTAAATATTCTAGGAGATATTCCAGGTATCTGAATCCTGGTGATCTATCAGACCCTAAAGGTCGGTCTTGTATGTGAGATCAGTAGACTAACCATGTCAGAGGGATGTCTGCAGGAGTGACTGATAGAATGTATGCAATGATTACACATAGAATGCATATGCGAGCCCCACACATGATGGAGCTTAGGAATGAGTCCACAAAGTACTTAACTAATATTTGGATACTTTTAGTAAAATGTTCTTACATGTAATCATCTCACTTACGATAAGTATTCATCTGCATGATGAGTAGAGCTCAGTGCAACAGGCCTGGCACACATGAGCTTGCAAAAATGACCTGTCTGGGGCGAGGCTGTGTGGTCCCCTTGATAGCTGCCTTTGTTTGTGCTTCTCTATGGCATTGAAGTGACTTGGTTACAAACACGGAACACCTCCCATAGCTATCTGTGTTCCAGAAGATTTGGGCAAACCTTCTATGCCCTACTCACTTGTCCATCCCCAAATCACCACACCTACGGAAGCTGTTAGGTCAGCGGGAGTCACAAGGGGTACCCCTTCATCAAAGAGTTGCTTCCACAGCAACAGCTCTGAGATGGGAAACCGGAAGCTTGGATGAGAATGGCACCCGTAGGCTCACATGATTGACTGAATGCCTGGTTCCCGCTTGGTGAGACTATCTGGGAAGGATTAGGAGAGTGTGGAGAGTGTGGCCTTGGTGGAGGAGGTGTGTCATTAGGGGCAGGCTTTGAGGTTTCAAAAGACACCCAGTATTGTCTGTCTGTCTCTCTCTCTGTCTCTGTCTCTCTCTGTCTCTCTGTCTCTCTCTCTCTCTCTTTCTAGATGTAAGCTCTAAGCTACTGCCCCAGCATCACCCCTGCCTGCCTGCCTGCCCCAATGTTCCCTGCTGCGATGGTCATGGACTCTAACCCTCTGAAACCCTAGGCTCCAAATGAAATGCTTTCTTTGACAGGTTGCCTTGGTCATAGTGTCTTATCATAGCAATAAAGAAGTAACTAAGGCAGAATCCCTCTTGGAGATTAAGCTCCAAAGTCCCACACCCTACACCTGACTGCACTCCCATCTGAATATCCAAAAACTTGGAAGATGGCAGATAAAACTGCTGGCTTCTTTCATCAACCCATGATGCATTTCCTCATAAAGGCATCATAAGGGAGGACAGGTCTCATCTTCTTCTTAACACAACAGGCTTCTTACCAAAATGGCTCTCAACTAGAGAGTGAGTGCCATGCTCTCTCTGAAAGCAATCATCGGACACAGACTGGGCAATGGGAGGGGAGAGAGTGACTGGTAACTCTCTCTACTATGATTCAGTATGTCAGTGAAATTGTTTTTGAAACAGTTTCACTATGTAGCCCTAGCTGGCCAGGAACTCACAACATACACAAAGGAGCCATGGAAATTATAGAAATCTCCTGCCCCTGCCCCTGCCCCTGCCCCTGCCTCATGAGTGCTGGTATCAAAGGTGAGCACCACCACACCTGGCTAGAATCACTTTGACATTTTGCAGGCTCTGTTACACTGTACAATAGTTTAAATGGAAAAACTCTTCCCAGCCGGAAGGGTTCCCTTTGAAATTCTAGAATCCTTACAAAAGTAGGAGGAGAAAGTGGCCAACAGTTAATTGTAAAAGCGCATGGGCATCGGTGGAATTCAACAACTCTGTAAATAATGAGGAAAATTCTGTGTACTTTTCTGGAGTGTCTATCAAATTCTCAAGGTGACACATAGCTCACAAATAATATTAATCTAAGAGCCACAGATACTTCTCAGAGCAATACAGATACAATCCCTGAGCAAAAATAAAACTATTCCCAACTTCTTTTCACAATCCATTTTAATTCTCACCTGACCCCCTACTGTCTAAATAAATCTGAGTCCAGAATCAGAGTCTTGAAAGAGAAACAATCTGTTCCAGAATGTGGCTTTCCCAATCCAAGCAAATGAGCATTAAGGACTCCTTGAACTGTTAATGTTATTTTGCATCTAATAGTAAGAGGTTTTACAAATGTCACAAAATACACTGTGGTCAGGGTTACTTACCTTCCCACCTCCACAATCATTACCCACAAGTCACGCACCAGATAACACGCGTGCCTCAAAAGCACGTGCCATTGACATACATTAGCAGTATGTGAAATCCACAGCTTTGCCAGTGCATTTAAGTGTGCAAAACAGCTCCAGGCTATGAGCGAGTAACTCACCTTCATGAGGTGCTGATTTATCCATTTTGTAAATGTTTTCTTTTGAACTTTGTCCCGCTCATCTGGAAAAGAAAAAAGAAAAGAAGGTTGGTATGACCCGTGCACAGGAAACGTCATACACTGCCCCAAGGTGCTATTACCTTTCAAATGGAAGCCAGGGACTCACCCCAGCACAGAGGATGATCTTGGGGGAGGGGGTCCTGCAGAGCAAAGCGAATGATGGACCAGGACCACTGACAAACTATGAAGACCCTACATGGAAGGGCAGCTCTCACATCACAGGATCCGCTGTGCTCTCTAAGTCTCCAACACCAAGAAAACAGTGGACATGAAACCTGCTTCTGTAATGTTTAAATCGTCCCGTCCAACTAGCAACCTGGGAGCCTAATAGCAAGTTCTCAAGAAAACTGGGTGGGGGGGGGCTAGAGAAATGGCCCAGAGATTAAGAGCACCGGCTCCTCTTCCAGAGGTCCTGGGTTCAATTTTCAGCAATGACATGGTGGCTCACAGCCATCTGTAATGAGAGCTGGTGGCCTCTTCTGGCATTCAGGGACACACAGGCAGAACACTGTCTATATAATAAATAAGTAAACATTTAAAAACAAAAATCCAGGGCTGGGAATGTGTCTCTGGGAAGTTTAAAGCAAGGCCCTAGCTTTAAACTTGAACACTGCAAAAAGAAAGTTCAAGATTCAAGAAAAGGTAGCATCATCCATATTAAGTTACAAAATGAAAAGTTAAGAAGTTCCTGTAACTCTCCTCTAAGTTGTATTGCTTTACTTAATCCTCACGTGATGACACAAGCTCCTACAATATCATTAAATTCAATGTATTATGTTGTTTCATGTGAAAGTCTTCCCTTGGGCATGGAATGGTGACCAAAATGGGATGTTTTGTTTTCTAAATTAAGCGGATACCAAGCACATAGGTTAAGAAGCATGAAAAGGAAGAACCCAGGTCCTTTGACTTCTAACACAAATGGTCCTCCAGGAAAGGTAATTTAACGAAGTACTTTCCTTAGAGATCATAACTGTCTCCAGGTGCCGACCACCCCAAGTGCTGCGTGGTTGAGGGAGAGGCTCCGGACCACCACTGATGCCCGAGATGATGGATGCTAAAACCCTGGGAGCTATGACTCACGATGAAAGCCCAAGACCACAGGCCACCTCCTGATGAGTAAGGCATGAATAAACTCTGCTGCTGTCTTCGAAGGGTAACAACCCAAACCTTCTCTCAACTCATGGTAAACCCAGACTGGTGCATTGCAGTACCAAGGAGACCCTCACCTAGAAAATCCATGCAACAGGACCATGACAACAATTCCAAGACCCTCACGTTTCTACAAGACAGTAACTACCCTGCAGTCGGCGAAGAACTTAAGCCTCGGAAGACCGGGCAATTTTACCACCTTATGCATTATTTCCAAAGGGAATCATTTCAAAAGGGAGTATGCCCGATTACACCATCTAATTTTCCAATTACAAGTCTCATGGTGATTTTTCCTCCTTTCAGACAGGGATGCTTAACACTGAGACTTGTATTTAGGGCACCGTTGCCATAACAACAAAAAGAGGACGGCCATCATTCCTGTGCATTATCCAGATCTGTTGGTTTTTAAGAACTGCCCAGTCAGTTCTTGAATTAAGTTTTATAGCCATTACTCTAGTTAAAAATCATCTTACCCACAATGAGTTTTAAGTGAAAGCACACACTTATGCTCACCTTATGAGATACAAAGTAGCTTAAAATACACAAAAACACCAATACAAGTCACAGAATGTAAGAAGAGAAAAATCACAAGAAGAGGAGCTACTATGACTCGTACTGTTTACACTTCCCAGGAAAGAGCATTCCACGTTAAATATACTTAGTGCCACACACAGCAAACGTCAGTGCTACATAAAGACTTATCCCAGAGTTCTCCCAGGCAAGCAGAAAGGTGGTCCAGACTCTACCCAGATTCCTCAAGGCACTCACTCCACAGTCAGCAGTTCTGCCCAGCAAGCCGAAACTGGCAGCACAACTTTCCTTTCCAGGTTCCCAACTCTGCAAGAGGCTTTCTGGGGCTGTACTGACCCATACAGCACATCCGTCGCGCCAGCTGCACACTCCAGCCCTGATCACTTTTCACAAGCTGCCCCATCATTCTGCGGGGACCGGTGCAGAAGGGTCCTGGACGCTCCCTGCCAAGCCTGACCTGTCAGCGCTGCTCACTTTCTCCGCAGAAAGGCAAGCGCTGACTAGACACTCCTACTTGCCACGGAAACCAGTCAACACCCCCTTTTAAACAAACATTAGCGAGCCAGAGTACTGTGCAACTAACTGCTGGTGAAAAGAAGCTACATCGTCTGTTTCACGAAGGGGGCAATCAGCTGTCTTTTAAAAGGCAGGGCCCTCAATCCACCCCCACCCCTACCCTGCCTCCCGCCTCTCTTTAATGTCTGAGAGGGGACAGTGAGGGAACCAAGAGGGTTTTACAGCAGAGACAACGGAGTACTGCCTTCTCCCGCGGCAGGCAGGGCCCCCAGCACCCAGCTGACACAGCTCCCCCTAGTCACACACATGAGTGGGAATCTCACCTTTACAGGTGAGACATGTTCTTCACGGAGAAATATCACCATCAAATATTTGTGCAGGCATATTTCATATTTCCTGAGAGAGATTTTAAGTTTGATTCTAAAGTGTACGTTTTTCTTTGTCAAACAACAGAAGCCCAAACCTTACAATTCAGAATTGCAATTTCCAGTTTCTCAGAACTTCATTTCTAACCCTGAATGAAACATGCCAAGAAGTGAGAACCCTTATTCTGAACACGCAAAGGATCACCAGCACCTCCATGCTTACTGAAACATCAGATTTTCCCAAACAGAAGCTATACGAACAGTAACTCCAAAATAAATAAAAACTGATCACGCATACTTATTTTCAACAATAGGGACCAGCAAATTTGGTCATGAAAAGATACCCCAATATTGCTAGACTACTCCTGCTAGAATGTTCTGAACATCCATGGACACCGTCTAACTCTACCCTAATCAGACTACATGGTAAATGATGCCAGATGCTGCTGAGAGTTCAAAGTACCTGCCTAGACTTAGCACTTTCTGCTTGTTCCTTTCCTTTCCCAAAAGGAAAAGAGGCCATCTTCCTGGACAAATGGCATGTGTATATACAGGTCCTCTCCCCCCAAACAAAGGCATGTGGTCAAAGTTCAGAGAAGGGATGCAAATGACTGATAAAGATAAGGGGTTATATTCAACCACCCTCCTACTCAATAATGAATATGTTTTCTTTCTTTCAGTTTTGTTTTCTTTGAAATGCAGGGTCTTGAGTAGCCCAGGCTGGCCTTGAACTACTGACCCTCCTGTCTCCTCCTCTGAACTGCTTGGGTTACAGGTGTGTGCCATCACATCAGGCCAAAATAAATAGACAGACAGACAGACAAATAAGCAAACTTTATGCCAACATAAATTATAAGAATAATAACAGCAAATCCAGAGAAATGGGTAGTTCTTACCTACGCTAATGTAGATAGATTATAGCATTCAGCAGGATAATTTGGTAGTTTGCACCACATATTTAAAAGAATATACTTTTAGAATCAATAATTCTACTTGTAGGAACTGGTAACGAACTACTTGTGTATAGCGTGTGATTAGCTCACAGGGATGTTTACTGTGGTCCAAATATTTGAAACAGCTAAATGATGGTGAATAGGAGACTAGATAAATGAGTTATAGTTCATGCGTGCAGCGAAACTTCAGTTTTAAAAATCCACAATACTGGCATGAAAAAAGACCTCCAAGACAGAATGACAACGGATTTCAACAGACGTATGTGCAAGGTGTAAGAAGGGGGCGCTGGCATGTTCCACTCATGTTTCATTCCGAGGGTCTCTGGATTCAGTGAATCTTTCCTAAGGAAGACATTTGCACATCATCACCGGTAATAACTGCGAGGAAAGGTGTCAAGCTCCTTTACTCACTTATACATTGAACAGTCCAGTAGATTGCACAGAAGTCACAGGAAAAAGACCAAGACCGGGCAGGCCACAGTGCCCTGTTCAGGTTTAGAGGCGGAATGGCACAACAGGTATGCTGGGCTTGTGTCTATGCTGATGTCCCACGAGAGGACTGGGAGGAAGGAGATCAGGGACTGATAAGATCCTCAGAGACTGGCTGACCAGCAGGGAAACAAAGTCACAGAGGGAGGGCCTCTGGAAACACACACAGGTTACTCTGCTTGCCTGTTCTCCTTGTCCGAAGTTTAGTTACCACACACCAAACACAGGCTGGTTTCCCAGGCCTTTGCGAGGACTCCAGGGATGTAGAATGTGCTGTGTAAGCTGGGATGTTGAACAGAAGCACAAATCTCTCTCTACAAATGCTTTTGTGTTTGCCCTCAGATGCTCAGAACGCATGCCTTCCTGTCAGTGCAGTTCTGGATCCTTAGTATTGGACGCCGGAGCAGAGGTATCAGGCTCTGCTCTGGAAAGGAATTTACTGGTCAATACCCGTTCTTATGATCAACCAAGAATTTAACACAAAACTTCAGGAATCTGCTTTTTAATCTGCCTTCTCCTACTGGAGCAGACTACAAACACACGGCCACAAAGAGACTTCGAATTATTGTTACGCTGCTCTATTTAACCGTCACACAAGAACTCTGCCATCCCAGTCCATGCTAAGGACAGAGCATGTTTACAACTCTTTATCTGTGTTATACTGAAACAGCTTGCTCTAAAATTCAAGTGACATGAGATTGCAGGGTAAAACCCAGGAACTCATACACAACCAGAGCACCAGGACCCCGGTACACCTCAGTGGCACAGCATTCGCCTACCCGGCTCCAGTCACCAGAGTGCCATGCACTGCAGAATCGAACACTGTCCCCCAATAACCCTGCTACCACACCTATCAATCTTCATTTTACCAATTTAAAAAAAAAAAAAAAAAAAAAACAAGACTTAAATTTAATCTGGCCCGAGGTTTCTGTGGGTGAGGACACAGCAGAGCTGAGGGCTTGCAAGGGTCTCCACTGCCATTCCTACTGTACAGGAACA